AAAAAAAAAAAAAAAAAAAACTGAAAGACTAAATTGCAGTAAAGTAAGTATGGAAAACACATACAAGTGGCGGGAAGACTTTCTCGGCCGCTCGTCGAGGTACAGAAAATCCTCCATGAGTGCTCGTGTCACTAGCAGTTAATGTTTTACAGAAATAATTAGTGGGCTGTTTGTTTGGAGCCCCGAGTTCAGCTGGTAGTAGGCATATATCCTTTTGCTCTTGCTAATGAAAATATCCAACAATGGTCAGTTAAAAGAATTACCAAAAATCACCTAACCAGATACACAAATTTAGGACAAGTATGAGAACAGTACAGGAGTAAGCGGTTGCAAAGTCATCTGAGCATACACTTCATCAGTTTCAACATCTGCCTGCGAGTATGAAGATGTTAAACCGATTTGTTAATCTAACATTTTTTTTTTTCATTTTGAAGAACGAAATGTTGCAACTTACATGCATTGTAACATTGTGAAGCTGACAAACAAGTTGAGGTTGTAAGCCGGGATAGTTAGGGATGGTAGCATCTATTTCCTTATTGGTAGAGGCAGCAACCTGTAAACAAATTATTCGAATATCTAAATAACAAATTCGAAGAGTAACCTTAGGATAAATTAGCTTCCAAAATCCAGAGGGGCAGTAAAACTTCTAATCGAAAAAAGGATACCCATAACACATTCAAAATCAGTTACTGCCAAAGATATCTACAGACCAAAAAAATTTGGGAAAAGGTAAAGGGGATAAATGAATGTCAATCCCAATTGCAAACTTTTTTTCCTGCACAAATTCATCTGCTTAACTAAGACTAATGTAGTAAATTTAAACAGAAGTTGAAATTAAGATCCTTTCAGAAACCTGTTCACTATGGCCCTGAGGAAAATACACGACTCGACTGCCGATTTGTGGAAGCGAAACGAGTGGGCCAGCACAAGCATGCCACAGCTCTGAGTTCAAGCATTTCTTCTCTCCTGGAGCTCAACAAATAAAAGGGAAAGTTTTTAAGGAGTATTTACTTAAACACAGCTTAGAAAGCTAAGCCAAGCACACAGACAAGCAAGAAAGGGGGGAAAAAGAGAGAGATAGAGAGAGGAAAATAAGAGTTCCATAGTAGTACCTCAATGAAAACATGGACTAAAGACAAAAATACAGAACAAAAAAGGAGCATACCTTCCTCAGGCTGAGCATTAAATCCAGGACTAGTAGAAGAGGAAGAAGAAGATAACTTCATATTTGCACACAAGCACAGTTTTTTTTTTTTTTTTTTTCA